CTCCTTTTTCACCTTCTGAAGTCAGTTTCACGAATTCTAAAACTGAATGATAACTTTAGTTCAGGCTTTCAAAGAACTTTTTTTTTTTCTTTAACTTTTTAACTTAATATATTATATACTATATAATATATGTTTATTTATTAGTTATCTTTCTGTTTTCAAACTTATTTCTTTTCTTTTTAGGCGAGCATACCCCTTTTTCACCTTCTGAAGTCAGTTTCACGAATTCTAAAACTGAATGATAACTTTAGTTCAGGGTTTCAAAGAACCTTTTTTTTTTCTTTGAACTTTTTGGTAAAAAAACAGTTTGCGTGGGTCTCCCAGTGCACGTACACCGATTCTAGTTGAGAGAGGTTATATTCCGTAAAAGTACTCATTATTTTTTTTTTGTTGCCAATTGCCATTGATGACGGACTTGACTTGAAGTCAATGCAGGATAGTAGCGTCGTCGAAACTTCACCAATTGGAAGCAGGTAGGGGTGGACAAAACCGGTTTTAAAATAACTATTTTTAATTTAAATTTTGAGAACCAAAATCGAATTGAAATTATCAAAAACTGAATAATTTAATTATTAATAAAATTGGTTTAGTTTTGGTTTTTGATAAATAAATAATAATTAATTATTTTTTAATAATAAATTATATTATATTTTATTTTATCATATTTATCTTAATTTTGATTTTTAAGAGACTTATTTTTTATTTTAATTTTTAAAAAATTCAACCAAAATTAAATTGAAATATATTTGGTTAATATCAAAACCAAAAAAATAAAAATCAAAAACCATTAAAATCAAACCAAATTCATTTTTTTGGTTTGATTTTCAAATAACCCATTGATTCGGTTTCAAATGCTCAACCCTACAGGGGACCAAGATGATTTAGGTCATGACAGGGGCAAAATGGTCCTTGCGAAAGAAAATTTTAACTTCTTCTGTGTAGCTTTAACATTTTCCTGTATCAGCAGCAACTGGGCCCCGCAGTGGGCCTCACTGCATTATTGCCTTTGCCAATAATTCAACACATCCTACAAACCTGATTATCTTTTCTCATAGCTTTTGCCCTTCCATAATTTTATAATAATAAATTAAATTCTGCATGAAAATAAACTAATTTTATATTTTAGTCAAATTTGGCTTCTTTGAAAGAAAATGCATATGCGCAATTGATTAAGATGACAGCTTTTCTCCTCTCTTTTCATTTCCTCTCAAATCAACTCTACTTTTAGGAGAATTAA